TTTTAAATATTTCGTAAAGTTATGGTAGTCGCCTTTTTTGATTTAGCTTTAAATAATAATCCTGCACCCTCCACAAACCCATCCTCTGAGTCGTCATGAACCATCACCCACCTTTGTCCTGGACTATCATTTTTGCAAACGCCTTTTTCGGTTGATGTCTGCCAGCACTTGCTGACAGTACAGTATAATGGGCATGGATCCACGACTCATCCATATATACTAATTTCTTTTTTCCGCACCCATGGCATCATTTTGTCGGAGGCGGCGTAAATATTTAACTCGCCACGCTTTTATATTATCGCGCTCTATGAGCACCATTCGGTTCTGGCGGCATTTTTTAAATTTAAATCCGAGCTTTTCTTTTAAAATCTTTCTTAATGTCGTTTTGGAGCCTTTATAGTTTAATTCAGCTTTTGCTGACGCCAGAATCCAGTTCAGCGTAAGTACCTCCTTTCGAACGTCGTATATTGAGGCCACAATATTTCTAATGGCACATATATCGAAGTTGTCCATGGGGACACGCGTATTATTTTTGCCTTTTCTGCCCTAACTCGGCGTACGGAGCTTGGTGTTGGTTTGTTCTGCAAGTTTACCTGAAATAAGAGTAAAATATTACTATTACTGTCAGTTATCGTTATAGAGCGACACTGAACTTAGTCATACTCGCTGCCAAAAGGACTCGTTTCCAGGCCAAAAGCTATTTATATAAAAACCACACTCGTTTCCAGGCCAAAAGCTATTTATATAAAAACCACACTCGTTTCCAGGCCAGAAACTCTATATAAAAATCATACTCGATAGAGGTAAGGCTAATCATCTTCAAATAAATTGATTTATCTGTCTACCTTGGTCAGGCCCTTAAAGCAACCGCGTAAAATAATGTGTAGGTACCATGTCATTACCTTCTTTCTTTATTTTCGATATAGTAGCCCTCGATAAATTAGTCGCCATCACTGTACGTGCGGCGCTATACTTTAACGAATGATAACGCTCCAAGTTCTTCTCTTCGTCAAAGTATTTTATAACGTCATAAACAATGTCACGCACTGTTAAGAATCTTTCCACGTTTTCGTGAAGCTATTGTTCAATCAATCACAAAATGTCAACGTTCGTAACAAAAACTCAACGAACATAAATAACAATCAAACGTAACACAAACAAATAATAATCAAACTCAACAAAAACAACAATGAATATCAACGAAAACAACAAAACGAATTTAACGATAAGTAGCGTGGAAAGCGAATCTTGACTGACTATTTTTTTGTAGCGCGTATTTCACTGTGCGAGTATAGACAGCGATAGAGAGTGAGCGAGAACGCATGCGAGCGGACGCCATTTTCAGATCTATTCTCTATCTGCGCGGCTTATACAAACACTTATATATAGTGATTAAATTTATTTTCGTTTCGTGTGTAACTGTATAATTGGTGGTGATATTTATCCAAACGGCTAATCTTTCCAATATGGACCATCGATTTCAAAGCCCATATGTTTTTTGTAGATAGTACTCACTAAAAGAGAGCGTTTTGCAAAGTTTTAGGTTGCGGAAACTTACGGTTCATGAGATATATTTTTTTAAACTTTTCATACAAATTGGCAATTAACACGCAATTACACCAATTACAAAATGAATTTGACAAATCATTGATGTCAAACGTCAGTTAGTGTAGGGTTCCGAATATTTTGAAAGTATCGATACCTACTCGATACCAAGTATCGTATCAAAAGTATCAATACTACTTGGTATCGAGTACATTTCGTTAATTTTGGAGACTAGGGGGGTAAGAAGCCGGGAAGTTGTGCTCCGGCGCTCCGTGGCAGCTTCGGCGCTGCGGGATGAGCAGTGCCTCCGCTCTCTCTCTCTCCCTCCGCGCCTCCGGGCTCTTATATACAATCTAGGGGTAGGGCAGACAAGACCACGTGGATAGTGGTGTGCTCTGATTCGGTTTTGGGTACTTTTTGAATATTAAATAAGTAAGTCAATAAGTAAGTAAACACTTTATTGTAGTAAGAATTAGATAATACAGAAAGTTGCAAACAATAAAATAAAAGTACAAAAGCTGTACTAATTAAGAAATACAAACAAGTTGCAAACAATAAAATACAAGTACTAAGGTGGAACTTAAATAGAGTAAACTTTATTCTACTTTATATACATATATAATTGCACTTATCAGCTCTTCCTATGCATCTAATTGGTTTGTCATAATTTTTCGTCTCCAAAATTAACGAAATGTATTCGATACCAAGTAGTATTGATACTTTTGATACGATACTTGGTATCGAGTAGGTATCGATACTTTCAAAATATTCGGAACCCTACACTAACTGACGTTTAACATCAATCATTTGTCAAATTTATTTTGTAATTGGCGTGTTAATTGCCAATTTGTATGAAAAGTTTAAAAAAATATATCTCATGAACCGTAAGTTTCCGCAACCTAAAACTTTGCAAAACGCTTTCTTTTAGTGAGTACTATCTACAAAAAACATATGGGCTTTGAAATCGATGGTCCATATTGGAAAGATTTACCATCCAAACAATCACAGTAGCCGAATAAAAATAGCCAGTTACAAAAATCACTAGTTTTGAAACAGGTGACGCCGACCAAGTCACTGGTTTCATTACGTTTCTTGAAAATGACGTAACGACCCACGTCTACTGATGACTGATTGAACAGTTTCTTCTTGTTTAACTTGTTTCTAATTTCACACTAAATGTAAACAATAGCGTAAGTTCAAACGCACAATCTTTTACGAGCATTCCCGCAGCTGTTGATAAGGTTCCGATAAGCGATTGTTTGGGATTACCCAAAACATTGCTACTCGGAACTTGTCTACCTGGCCCCTTTTTCAAGTTTTTTTCTGTACTATTTAAGTTACAAGCTAAATTGATACTTCGTTGGGTAGCTAGATAAGTAGGGATGTTTTTAACATGATTTGCACAATTGGTCACATACAATTATTTTTCACAAAATCATTTTTATTTTTAATTACTTATCTTCTGTTTGGAAAAAGTTGTACTTTTAGTAGCGTTACTTCAAAAATAATGAGACTTTTTGCACACTGTAGTATTGATGAATAAGTATCCAGGTTTTCATTAAGTAAAAATAATAAAATGAAAATAATACAGCTGTAAGTTTTTTTTTTTGAAATTTTTGACACCAGACTTTTGGGATTTTTGAAAAAAATAATTAAGCCTAAATATCTCGAAATTGGTCCACATTTGCATAATGCATTTTATGGTTCTTTTGATAGGTTATGACCCCAACTATCACGCCTTGGCGGGAATACATTGAGTTACCAGTAACCCTGTATATTAATGAACTGGGTATGCTCACTCGCCCTCAAGGACGGATCATAAGTTTTGCAGATGACACCGTCCTCCTATTTAATGCAGGTACATTACATGAAGTCCATGCGTACGCCTAGTTCAGCTACAACACGGTCTCAAATTGGCTTCGAAGTAACGTACTGACAGTGACCGTAGATAAAAATTGTTATGTCCCGTTTAGATTAAAAAATAACACATTAACCTCATCATCACTACAACATACCATTGTAAGTTACTCGTTTTCCAATCCACTTAATAAAACAGGTACCTGCACACAAGTACGTCAAGCTGACAAAGTAAAATATCCAGGAGTTATAATCGATAACAATCTACGTTTTCTTCAACACATTAATACCCTTAATAACAGTTGGCTTAAACTAATATATGTATTCAAAACTCTGAGAACGCGGCTGATGAGAAAATAAAAAAATTGGACTTTGGCCCAATCTATGCTAAGATATGATATTACCTCCTGGGGCGGTGGTCCAAAATCTAAAGTGTTTCAATTGGAGATAACGCAAAGAGCAATTTTAAAGGTCTTTTTTTCACTGCCGTTTCACTATCCTACAGAGCCCTTATATAAATAGTTGAACATATTCACTTTACGGTAAATATTTATACAAAGAACCTTACAAAAACAACATGCTCTATTAAAATTTAAACCCTCACTTTCCCGAGGTAAAGGCGTTTTAACTCCGTGGACCGCTATCATATAACTCTATCCACCAAATTATCTAAACGTTTATTTTGTCACCTTGGAGTTTTTTTTGTACAATAAAGACAATAAGATTATTCTGAAATGTAACGTTAATAAAAGTATATGCAAAAAGAAAATAACTACCTGGTTCCAAGAATTTAATTATGATGAAACTGAAAAGCTACTTACTAATCCTACCTAATTACTAACTGAATTAAAGGTAAATATTAACCAACCACGCACATTCACGCACACACGCACGCGCGCGCGCACACACTCACGCGCGCGCGGACACACACACACACACACACACACACACACACACACACACACACACACACACACACACATACACACACAAACACACACACACACACACACACATACCACACAAAACACACTAATACTATAACATTAAGGCTTTAATATTATGTACAATAATTATGTAATATTATGGTGAGAAAATAAATCATTACTATATTTATGTTAGTACACCCCCTCACCCCTTCCTAGTCAACTGTCCTGTCAACTTCCTTTTACGTGGTAGAGCCACGCTGCTGCTATATTATGGTTGTAGCATGAATGGGTCCGTTCGGCCGGGGAAGGACCATGCTCTCACAGAATACTTGCGTAAAATAGCAGCTGGTTGCTGTGTTTCGTATGGTGAGTGTAGAAAACCGGACACCCGTTTTACTGGGATCGAGGCATTTCATCTTAGTCCTGATGGGTGACAACGCATTTGCATTTTGATTCTTAATCGAATGTAATTAATCTATGGGCCACAGCATCCACTTACCATCAGGTAGACTGTGTGCTCGTTTGTCACCCTTATCCTATTAAAAAAACTGGCTCTGTTAAGAAAATGAATAATATTATTTTTTTGTTTCTAAAATAAAAAAATAGTAGGTACTTTAAATTATTGGGTTTTAATAAGAAAAAAAAGTAATACATGCGTATAATTGTACATTAATCGTACGATTTCAGTAAATAATCAGCAGCCATAATAATTAATGTAACTCTTCTACTCGCTACGTGACTTGGATAAGATAATAAAAAATGTGTGAGATGCTTGCGAACTTCTGCAACAACCATAGGCAAATGACTTCGGGTAACAGAATCTAAAGTATTTAAATTTATTATGGCGTCTTCGAGGTATCTGTAATGAGACGAAAATATTAGAAAACAAATTAATTAATTATCGTATCGCATATTTTTAATGTAATTAATTGTTCTTTACCAGATTATGTATAAAATTTGATGGCCTAGTGGCTCAGAGGTCTAAGTGTTTGGCTATAAATGATTGTGCAATTTATCTTTGTAAAACGCCTCCACGATACAGGTGAAAATCCTAGTGTAATATATATGTAATAATGATGCTATGGATTGAATGTGGGCTGATGGCTAAAATTTTATCTTTTACCTGCACTTTAATTGCGTATCGTGAACCATATCGGTTGCCAGTTGTTGTATAAGTGACAGCAACACCGACTGACGTAATTTGCACGGCGGTGAAAAAACTTTCACAGGGTCCGCCGCTCGACATGCTGCCATCACAAGCGATAGATCCGACGAAGACAGTGCCTTTTCGAACGACCCATTGACGTTACCTTCTTTAATTAGCTTGTTAACTTCGGCTGACTTCATCTTGAAGAAATAAAAATTATTTTTAAGTGTGCTTTATTTTTTAATATAAACAAATATAAATATAAAGCAGAAATCTCGAAGAAATAGTAATATTTATCTACAATCTACTAACTACCAACTACTCTGTAGAATACAGACTTCTATCTATATACTACTAGATGGGCTCAGTGGTATTAATAATAATGTCCTCCAGACCGAATTCCGGCCACGGCGGCCTGACTCAAGGAGGCTAGCCAACGGCGCAGGACAGGATTATAGTGCCCGCAGTTATGCGCAAGCACAGGTGCACTCTCTATTCCCTCACTCTCATAATCTGATGGGACGGTAAACCGACACAACCGGAGAGAGATCAGGCGCAGGACCAACGGCTTTACGTGCTTTCCGAGGCACGGGGGTGAGACACCGCCAACTTCCTGACTCCAGGCAGCTACTGAGAATTTCTCGACAGAAAAACTCAATAATTGATTTTTGGCCCAACCCGGGATTCGAACCCAGGACCTCATGATCATCAGCCGCACTACTACAGCCGCTAGACCAACCAGACATACAAGCGGTATTAATAAATACATTGCGCACTAAGTTATGCTCAATTCCTCGTAACTCCTTTAGTCGACCGTCCGAAGAATAGGGGAGTCCCTACATTTATCGACGCGGAATCGACTTAAGCCGAATGCGTATTACCATACACCTCGGCTTAACGCCGATTAGCTGTTGCGACGTCTATTCACAAGCGATCGGCATTCGATTTCTTTGAAAGGCCGTCGCTACGGCTGTTCACTTGCATTCATCAGTCGGTTCCACAGAAGGCCCGTCGTGACGGCTGTTCTCTTACGTTCGGCAGTCGACTCCTCCGAACGGTCATCGCATCGGCTGCTCACATTCGTTCGGCAGTCGACTCATCATTCATCATCCGACTATTGTGCAACGCCGTTCAGCCGTCTCCAGCGCCGTTCGGCTGCCGTCAGAAACTTAAACACATCGACGTGGGCGTTTGGCTACTGTCAGCGCAGTACGTTAATCGGCAAACAGCTTGTTTAGCCGTCGGTCGACGTCACGACGCATTTTACGAGCCGAGCCGATGAGAATGGCATTAGCAATACACGTATTTCGTAGAAATAAGGGTTTTTCTAACCGGCTGAAGCCGATTCCTCGTCGATAAATGTGGGGACTCCCTAATTCTTTGTTTTGTAAGCCGCGAATATGAATGTACATTCATGACCGCAAACGTTGTTTTCCACAATTTAAATCTAATTTTGTTTAACACCTCAGTCCCAGCTAAAATTCATAACTTCACGCGACGTAGCGTCGCTAAAAATAACCTAACATGGAATTTGTCGTACATTTATTTTCAATAAAATTTATTATAAATTTCAATATAATACTTGTTTCTGTTTATTTATTATGTTATATTACTTTTTTAGTGCTTTTACTTCATTACAAATAGATTTTAGTTGTATTTTCATAGTAAAAAATGTACATACCCAGCGCATGACAGCAGCGTTAATATCACAATTAATTCTATATATTACTCGAAATTATTTACGTCAAAAGATAAATTGTATTCACACAAAAACTTTTATCACAATTTTATAATAAAACACTATACAAAACACTAATAACACACTAGAAAAATCCAAAAATCAACACAATAACACGCCACACCTAACAGGTGTACTATGGAGTGTAGAGGTAAGGAGAACAATCTCTCATAGGAGAATAGTTAAAAAAGTGTCCATCTGTAAGCAATAAATAACATTTCAAAAACTCTCCACAACAGCGCTGGAGTAGCTACAGTAAACAGCTACATGAAATGAACTTAGCAATTGTCGACGGTGTGAAGTGTGCTGCTAAACTGCTCAGTAGCTCTAAAATCTAAAATAATTTTATTTAGTAAATATAACCTTGAAAAAGTCATCTATCCCACAAATATTTTTCGACGCATTCTTTAAAATTTACCCCGTAGCTATAGTGGCGCCACCCTTATTTAACGATTTTCCACGGACACTTTTTAATACACAGTCTGTACTCCTTACCTCTACACTCCAAAAGGCGTACGTAGATTATAAATCGTAGACAGAGAAACCTATAGACAAATTGACGCCTTCTTTCGCATTCGCACACGAAAAAGATAGATTTATGCATACGTCTTGCATAGAAATGAGACAGAACGGTGTGATTGTTTGTCCCTTTCTCCGTGCCGGTTTTTTTGTTTAGCAAACTCTACAGTTTGCTAAACAACTTTAACAGCGTAGCGATTTAAGGAGTTTACAAGTTGGTTCAAGTGAGAAAAAAGTGTTTTGTGAGCTTAAGATTGGTGAATCTTGTTCAGTTCAGTTCTTAGAACAATTAAAATTTTTATCTAAACGTATTTAAAAGTCATAAAGACTATTGTATAACCTAAAAATTCGTTATCGTCCTTTCTCACTCGAGGCCACGCCGATCATTAGTCTATAGGTTTCTCTGTCTACGTTATAAATAAATACTATAGACTAACTGAGTTTTTATTGCATTAGAGGATAGAAAATTTCACATGGAGCCTATAATACCAAACTTCTTCATAGACAAGTAGTCTCTAAATATAAGTTTTTATGGTTTAAAGTGCTGTGGGTGGGCGTGGTCGGATCCGACCGCTTAGAATTTGACGGAATATCGCCTTGGTCGGATCCGACCGCTTAGAATTTGACGGAATATCGCCTTGGTCGGATCCGACCGTGTGCATATTGAAGGGTTAATGTGACTAAAAAGACGCTCTCATTATTAACGTGCGCAGATAAGTAGTTATATAACTTTATTTACTGTGTATCTAAAAACAGTACCTAACTGCGAAAATGGAAATACAACTGGATGTGGCATATTTACCGTGCCAGCCAGCTAACTATCTTGTCACATGTTCGACCAGACTAATTACTAAAGTAAATAAAATTTTAAGCCAATCAAAGATACCTTACCAGTTGTTCAATAATCGATCGTTCGGGATCTGCGGGCTGCGGAGGGCTTATTGGTGTATAGTTTGAAGTGGAAGGGCTTGAAACATTATCTTCTGAATTGTCATGTTCATTATGTTCTGGCATCAATAAAACTTGATATAAATTTTCTCGCCATTCTTTCAACTCCTTTTGAAGAATCCTTTAAAAGATATATTAATAAGGTAATTTAAAAGTTTTTAATGGTTTTATTTATGAAGTAATGGCAACCTCGGCGCCCTCCCAGTATGTAGAATGACTACCTTACGAGGCATGCAAGGCTCCCTTCTTTAAACTTCCATTCAAGTAACCGTAATAGCAATAGATACATTATTATTATTACTACATACACCTTTAGACTTAATTGAAATTGGTTAAGAAGGCATTAACATAGAAACTATTAGTAAAATATTATTTGGCATACTCTTGTAAGCTCCGTTGCAGATGCTTTGTCAGGTTTATGTTGTGATCCGCCTCCTCCAGCAAGCTTTGATGACGTTCTAGAGCTTTACGGAGCGTTTTCGAAGTCTTATGCACGGATTTAGTAAACATAGTCGAGTTTTCTTCCACTGTAGAAAAATTTTTCAATTAGTACGCCTACCACTAACTTATGCGACGATTAACTCTATTGATGACGTCTTGTTTGAAGGCCGAACACATGGTGTTTTTTCCTAGGGTGGAGGTGACTGAGTATTAGGTTGTTGGATGTAGTAATTACTATTATTTATTTTGTGGTAGTACTGTTGAGTGTAGTAATGTCAATAATAGTGTCGCGATTTTGGTAAGAAGGGATGTGATAATTTTTTTTACATACATACACAGCCATTTAATTTTTTAAGCGCATCTTGGCAGATTTTTTTTCTCATCTTTAATATGATGAATGATTCACCGCTAAGTAACGCCTAAATTATAAGACGAGTTATAAAAGCAAGGTCTTAAACTTTTACCGTCAATCAGCTAGTTCCCTACTCAATCTGTCAAGGGTAGATGACAGGAAAATAATCTGAAACGGAATGAAGTGAAGAGACTTACGTATATTCTAGCTCTTGCAATACTTCAGACCACAACAATAGAGGACTAAAAGCTGCCTGCTTAAAGCTACAGTAACATAATGCTAGGATATGGACCGCAAACTCAAAAGGTCGTGGATTCGAATCCACCATTCGATTACTGTCGTATACCACTTTATAACAAGCTATTTCAGCTTACTTGGAATGGTTAATATGTATTTAATGGAATATTACAATGTTGATAGCATTGCTAGTATATTATTAAAAAAAAAAGAAAATGCCGCATGGCGGCATATATAGGTACGAGAACTACTAGCCAGAATACCTAAAGGAATACTTATAGGCAGGAAAGAGTCCAGTGATAATCCTTAAGTACGTATGACTTGGGTAGTTTTGGTGGAAAGTTGATGAGGAATTAAGGCAATTTTTTCGAATATAGTTGCTTTGTATGTACTATGAAATAATTTACTTTATAGAATAAGGGTGACAAACGAACACATAGTCCACCTGATGTAAGTGGATGCTGTGGCCCATAGACATCTACATTTATCCTCGATTACGAATCAAAATGCAGATGCGTTTTCACCCTTGAGGACTAAGATAGAATGCCTTGTTTCCAGTAAACAAAGGTCTCCAGTTCTCTACACTCACCATACCAAACACAGCAGTTTTAACTTGCAATTTAAGGCTGGTATTCTGTGAGAGCGTGATTCTTCCCTAGTCTAGCCGACCTATTCGTGCTACAGCCATAATATAGCTGCAGCGTGGCTCTACCACGTGTTACGCCACGTGTCTCCGGTTCTCTACACTCAACATACGAAACACAGTAGTATTAAGCTGCTATTTTACGCTGGTATTGTGTAAGAACGTGGTCCTTCCCCGGTCGAGCCGACCCATTCGTGCTGCAACCATAATATAGCTGCAGCGTGACTCTACTACGCATTAAAAAACGAATATGTTAAATAAGTATTTTATGTATTCATAATCGAAAAACGGACATGTTAGTTGTTTAATATGGTGTATAATGCAAATAGCTGAAATCTGAAGTTTTAAAAATAATATAAAAAAATTATATTTTTATTGCCTAAGTTTCGTCATCACACTTTAGCTGTAGCCAAGATGGCGTCTTTTTTGCGTCTGTGTATGTTGTATTTTATGATTAGTTATTGTTCTGAGATTTTATGGGCATATTATGTGAAAGCAAGTAAACCATGCAACAAGAAGAGTGTAAGCTATGGTAGTGGATTCATATAATAATAGTAGAGGGAGGCCTAAGAAAAGATGGACGGACTGTATTAGAGGAGAATGGAAGAGAAAGACATGCTGTGTTGACCCCAAGTAACTTGGGATTAGGGTAGAAAGAGGTATAGTACGTTGTATTGTATTGCGTACGAAGAGATTATTACGCAATAAAAATATATCAATTAAAAAAATAAAAAAATAACTGACTATCTGTATCTGTAGCGAAATCAAAAAATACACAGGGTTATTTTGCAATAACCGTCCGGCCAAATTTGCAGAGAAGGTTCGGAATAAGTAATATAGACAAATGGCGAAGAAAAAATAATTTAAAAGAATCCTCAAACATTATTTCCTTTCTATCTTTCAATTCGAAATGCGTGGTAAGGCATTATTTTAACTGATTTTACTGCGCACGCGCACATACGTAAGGGTCGATGGGTAGCCAAAAAAGTGGTTGCCCATAAATTACATTCAATTTGTAATGATTGCAAATAAAAGTAGAAGCCTTTTTTATTTCCTCGTATTTTCAAAAACTTCAATAACGTAAATAATAATCATATACGATTATTTACACTACATGTAACAAAAACCCTGTGGTTCCCGTTAAAAGTGCGTTATCAAAATCATTATTGAAGCTTATAAAAATATTTTGTTCAAAAAACACATTAAAAAAATTATTTAAATAAAAAAAAATAATTTTCAAATTGTATGTGGTTTTGTTATCTCTGCATTAGCCGAGGAATAAGAGGATTGTCAAAGATTCTGCATTACCGATACTCGTGTGAGTTACAGGAAATAAAACCACATACAATTTGCAAATAATTTTTATATCAATTAAAAAAAATAATTATGGTCGAGTTTTCTGAAAAAAAAAATTATTTCTATACGCTTGAATACTGATTCTGATAACGCAGTTAACGGTAACTACACGGTTTTTGTTACATGTTGTATATTTGAATTTGGCTACTTTTTGAAAAATAACCCTGTATGGACAGACAACGGGATGTAGTGTCAAATGAGGCAGACGTCTGGTACTGCCATGGTCAACTAGACTGCCAAGCTTCGCGATATGACATTTCTACTTTGATAAACATATCCAGCAGTAGACTGTTTGTGCGCAGATTGGGACGAGATAATAACAGGAGAATAACAGGTCTTAAAACATGTGAACATAGAATTATGAAATAAAATAAAAAATAAAAACATTTACGCTCTTTGAAAGAATCCTCTAGAATTTTAGTGACCTGTCTGAGCAGGTGACGATGGGATCGCTCCAGTAACGGCAGGTAGGACGTAGAGAAGCTTTGGGAGAAGCAGCTCCGAATCACATCCTTCACGCATTGTTTTGTTGCTGACACTATGCGCTCTTTTAAGGCCTAAAAAATAAAAACGAATTGCTTCCCCGTTCGTGTAACGCAGCAAGTAAAAAAATAGAATAATTTGCCCGCATATGTCTTTCCATGCGATTATGATGTGGGGGTCTGCAAGCCAAGAATGAATAAGTTTTTGTTAAGCTAAGCCAGTAATACGCTTGTTAATAATTGGCTGTATCCCACTAACTCTCAGGTGGGATGCTAGTCTAGCACTAATTTATAGTAGTAAAAAAATATGGGGAACAACGTGTAAAGATCTAATACTATTATCGACAATGTGGAATTTTTTTGTTTTGACAGGTTGCTTGATTTCGTATAGTTCGTTGTCTATCTAAAAAAATATCCAACACGTAAAAGTTAAAGCTACAGCCTATAATACGTCCAAAAACTAGGCATAGGCCTCCTCTTGACTCGATCATAATTATTTGCGAAAACACCTCTAAAATTCACTATAGTTGAAATTACATCGAAATCATTTGATCTATATGCTTGGGAATCGCTCAAATATATTCATATAATCAATATACATAATTTACTTGCTCATTATTTTGATAACTTAAATCAATAATTTTTTAAAAAATATTTTAAGATTTCTAAGCGCTTTTAATCGTCGCGGGCGCTACGCAATTTTAGACCTTATGACGGCGTTTCTTCAAGTTTTTATAGAAATTATGTATTCACTCGGATCAGTACAGCGATAGCGTTTTCGATGTGTCGTCTTAACATATAACTCGTGACTGTTTATTTTCAACGCAATATTTACGACGTTTAAAAACTGATTGACTACTTCGAAACTACTTTTCATTATAGTGCTGAATAAATTATAACTACATCTAATGATAATTTGATATGTGTTTTTTAATTAATGATTGATGTTAGGAGCACATATGAGTAGTATAGAATTGATCATTTTGAATTCAAGATATTATAAATTATATTAATTGTAGGACGTAATTCATACATTTGATGATAGATGATGATGATGAAAATATAATAACGTTAAAGTTAATAGGATAAGATAATAAGTTCTAAGTTAATAAATCTCTCTCTCTCTCTCTCTCTGCCATCAGAGCGCGAGCTAGAGAGACAAATTTCATAGCGGGGAAGTTAATTTGTTAGAAAAATGTAGAAATAACTTTTTTTATTTCAGAAACACGAGATATACATTATATTAATTAGATTAGAAATGGATAACCCAAACTACGGATTTTTTTATAGGATAGTGTGACAAACGAGCACAGTCCACCTGATGGTAAGTGGTTGCTGTGACCCATAGACAACATGTATCCTCGATTACGATTCAAAATGCAGATGCGTTGTCACCCGTGAGGACTATGATGAAATGCCTATTTTCCAGTAAAAAGGTTCTCCGGTTTTCTAGACTCACCATACAAAACACAGCAGCATTAAGCTACTATTTTACGCTGGTATTCTGTGAGAGCGTGGTCCTCCCCGGTCAAGCCGACCCATTCGTGCTACAACTATACTTCTAATATAACTGCAGCATGCCTCTACCACGTATTGAATTGTATTATGAATCATAATATTCCTATAATTAGGAGAATAAAAAAAAATTAAAGATGTGAATATAATTGAGGCAAACTGAGGCATTTTCTGTTTAACATTTCAATGATGATGACACATGATGTCCATCTGCGTAACAAATAAGTTCACCTCAGTACCGAGCAGCGACATCTAGTGAGCGTAAAATTATTAGCCCTAACTGGTATGAATATGATAAAACGACAAAGAAATCGACCGCTTGATGTGAATGCCTGTAACCTGTAATGGACTGATCGATCAGTATTGCGCACACCACATACAGAATCCCGTTTAGCCTGCAAAATTTCGAACGAAAACTTCCATAGGTGTGTGACGGGTCATTGATTTTATATGGACTTGCTACGTTCGGAATCCCGAATTGGATTTCCGAAACTGAATCGCGAATCGGATTTCTGAAACCGCCGGCCTTAAAGTGCTACGCTAATAACTAATATTAAATACGTAATATATACATATCATAGTATTCTTATTGAAAGTTATTCCTTACATCGTCCTGAAGAAACTCGGTTAGTGCGTCCTTAATCCCTTGGTCCAGACACCGCGTATGTTTTTGTTCTATGGCGTCAAATAAGCTCTTAGCTCGGTCATTGTTGTCTTCGAACTTCATAGGGATAATTTCCTTAAGTGTTGATCTAATGAGGTCCTTTAAACTAAACGTGTTAAAAATTGATTAATAAAAATTAAAAATTGATAAATAAACCTGCGATTTCCATTATTGATTTATATTTTATTTGATCAACCGCGATCGGGGCAGCAAGTTTCAAAGTAACTTAGCTTATAACGCTAAGAGACTTGCGTGATTAGGTAAGAACCAAGATGACTCTCTATTATCGTTAACACTATCATTTTTATAGCTGCCTAATAAACAATCGAAACCGACATTTTGTATATAAAAACAAATTGCTTATTTTTGATGGTATCGTATTACGTGAATGAGATTACATCATATACCTTTTTTGAAGAAGTAAAGTTGTCAAACGAGTACACAGCCCACCTCATGGTTGTAGATTCTGTGATCTTTAGGCATCTATGCTTAAGAATTAAAATGTAGATGTGCTGCTAACCCTGGGGAGTAAGGTAGAATGCCTGGCTACCGGTAATATGGTCTTCCGTTGTTGCCCCCACACCAAACTCATCACAGCATAACAGTGCTATTTCACGCTTTCTTTCTCGTCCCACAAGCCCACAAAATATGAAACACAGCAAAGTTATGCTCATATTTCACGCTGGTATTCTATGTGACCGTGGCAATTCCCCGATTGAGTCGATACGTTGATACATACTGCCTCAATACGCTACAATGTAGTTTACCATGATCTAAAACATAAAATACATCGAGCACAGACATGTTAGGAAAACAACTGATTGGAAGATCAGTTATTAGCGTGAAAGCTTGTGACTCTATCTCAGTACAGATGACACAGCTTTTTTTATACGATAAGATGACAAACGAGCACACAGTCCACCAGATGGTAAGTGGTTGCTGTGGCCCATAGACAGTACGTATCATATAGATGCGTATCACGTTTCCGAATACCTCGTTTAAGGTAAAAAGGGTCTCCGGTTCTCTACACTCAACATACGAAACACAGCAGTATTAAGCTACAATTTTACGCTGTTATACTGTAAGAGTGTGGTCTTTCCCCGGTCGAGCTGACCAATTCGTGCTACAATTATACTACTAATATAACTGCAGCATAATTTGAAAAATATAGCCGTTTAGAAGTGATAGACTTTATTTTCTGTCTAGGAGTTTGTTCGGGTGGGTATCACCTGCTTATATATTACTGGGTGGAGAGAGTCGGTGTTAGTACAGTTACATGCTGTAAGGCGTTCCATCTTAACCCTTAAAGATATTAACGTACCTGCAGCCTTCCTTGTTTAAAGTTAGCTGCAGGTGCCCATGGACTACAGCAGTCGTTTACCATCAGGTGGACTGTAAGTTTTGTCATTTCAGTTTTATAAAGAAAAGTGATCAGGCATGAAACTAGAATTAGAGCTTCACTATCTTTTGCTCATTGTAACATTTGAGTAAGATCTTTAAAATAAATCTTTGTAGAAGGGGGAGGGGGTCATCCATGCCTAGCCGTGTTTAAAATGGTTCAGGTGTCCGATCATTCAGTCAATCGTTCCGATTTGTGATTTTCGGTTAGGTTTTAAGTTCATACATCGAATTATTAAATATATTTTATTGAAGGATAAGTAGAAGCGGTCATTGGACTGCAACATACTAAAGATATGTAAATAAGTACCTATCATCATCATCATAACTATAGCCTGTAAAAAGTACAAAAGTCCTGTTAAATATATATACATATACATACATAGATTGCCTTATAGGGAGCAACCTCATATTTGACATAGATGATACGCTTGGCAAATCAGGACGCCAACCGCAGTTCTTCTATCTTCTCTTTCAGTTACCCTCTGACGCCCTTAACACAACTTACCGTGGGTGATGCGTGATAGTGGATTTTCCTACGCTACAACTACGCGGTAAGATTAAGTACGAAATATTCTTACGTGAGATCTTCAAATGATTGGTCTGCTAGAGCCGTTTTTGATTCATCTATGGCTCCATTAAGCAATGAACCCTTTATATCCTCTTTGATTCCAACTAAGAGCTTTTGCTGTTCAAGTAGTAAATCTACGAAAAATGGATAAAATAAAATAAAAGGTTTAAATACAATTACGCTTTAAAAGTTACTTTATAAAACAATAACGATCATTCTCGATTTCTCGATTCAAACAAGCATACAGCTCACCTGATGTACTATATTCAAGATTCAAGAACAATCTCAATAGACAAGTGAAATTCATTTGAATCAGTTTTAACTTATAATGAGGTGCTCACAAATACCTCCAAATATCGGAGAACATGCGACGACATAGAGTGATTAGTACATCACGTGGATTTATTAAAAATAACCCTTAACGGCTATTCTTTGTAAGGCATGATCAGTTTAAAGTGATAAGAAGTAAATAAGTTACAATGTGGTAGACTTCTTTTCTACCTTGGAGTCTGTCTGGGTTCTTTTCTACCTTGGCGAAATATACCTCTCTATCGCATTCCGGTCTGAAAGGTATAAAGAAGCAATATAGTTACAGGCTGGGAGGCATTCCATTTTAATCCACAGAATTGACAACATATCCGTGGCCTCCTTTTTGTAAAGTTGTCCACGGCCTGTCATGGCCATTAACCATCAATTTTGAGCTCGTTTGACACACACTAGAAAAAGCAATTAAAAAATTAACATGTATGCACTCTAGCTCCTTTAATAACCTCCAGACCGAATTCCGGTTATGGCAGCCAGCATCAACGAAGACTATGTACACCTATTTCTTCACTTTCACTTTCATATTAATAATTATTATAACGTGGAATTACAATTGCTGTTACTATACTGTCCGAAAAGAACGCAGGTCATAATTAAGATATAAAAGTTCCTTAAATTAATAAATATTCTTATAATACCTCACCAAAAAATAAACACTTCCAACCTACGCTATAATATTATCAATCTTACCGTTGAGCTTCTCAATTTTGCTTTCCAGTGTACATATAGATTCAACGTCCTGCGTCGAATTTAGCGCCGAATTGTTTATTTTCTCGTAAATAAGATATTCCGGTTCCTCACCAAAAGATTCTTCCCATTCAAGCTCATTATCGGAGGCATGACTTCTATCGCAATTGTCTTTGTATTGAACAAGGTGTTGTTGAAATACTTTCAGACCGTTACTCACATTATCGAGGAACTCTAGGGAGCTTAACGATTTTGAACGTATCAAATTATTAGTCACTTCTAATTTTAAGTTATTCATTACGTAGTATTTATGTATTAGAGTCGAGATGCAGTAATAAACACAGAGGACTTTAGTAATAACTACAGCTGTGGATAATTTTTTGTTTTCCTACCCTCATTATTTCATATTAATTTGCGTTCACAATCCTAGATATAGGTAATATGAATGTAAAAATCTTTAAAAATTTACCTTACTTTTTAATTAAGGAAAGATAACTTTTAAAACTGGGTAAATAAACTAAACACATTAAAAAAAATTTCTTCACTGTGCCGTTATACATATTATAATATATACTTAGTTCTCAGTCATTAAAATGGTATTTTTTGTCTCTCATATTTTTTGTCGGAAACATTACGTATTTGTGGAAATGTAACAAAACACGCACTAACGTCATTTCCAACCCGACGATAAATGTCGCCTCTACACGTTGGCTAATGTCGCCTCTACACGTTGGCCAACACAGTGGCGAATGTAGTGGCGAATATATTGGCCGAGAGTTGGTGACGGCGTCCACACGTTGGAAGGTCGTTCAGTTTACTTCGGTTCGGGCCAATGTGCGGACGAACGACGGCTCCGTGGCGCAGTGGCTTAGCAATGAGTAGCTGTGCCGGGGGCCGCGGGTTTGAATCCCGCACGGAACAAGTATTTTAAGACACACATCCAGACCCGAAACAATTATTTATCCTACAAATAATTGTTTCGGGTCTGGATGTGTGTCCTTGTGCAATTTATGTTTGTAAGCTGCCTCCGCGATACAGGAGAAAATCCAAGTGTGGGGGGTTACGTTTTTATAAAATAATTATAAAAGAATAGTGGATATTAATGGGGCTGTAAATAGAAATACGATATACGATTAGGTTTATTTATTCTTTACATGCATCATAAACTGGAATAAATACAATTAATAAGAACTTAACTTATTTTAAAGTTAAAGGAGTTATAATCGATTAATCTATGTTTTAAAATTGGGTTTCGATTTTAAAGTTTAGCAAAATATATACTTGCATTTCTATCAGACATTTGATGTATATAAAAAACACCTTATAATTTATTTGGTAATTAATTTATTTTTTGAGAAAGACAAAAACAATAGCAATAAATATAATTAAAACCTAACTTGATAATAGGTACTAATTATAACTTAGAACATAAATGAAAAACTCATGACGAGCAAAGTGGTTCAGGACCATGCTTTGCGGCAGTCTGTGGAGGAGGATGTACAGTAGTGGACTTGTGAACAGCTGTAATGATGATGATGATTCGAAAACTTGCACGAATTGAATTATAAGAAGTCGACGTTTTTTTTATAGGATAGGGTGACAAACGAGCACACAGTTCACCTGATGGTAAGCGGTTACTGTGGCCCACAGATATCTACATCTATCCTCGATTACGAATCAAAATGCATATGTGTTCTCACCCGTGAGGACAAAGATGAAATGCCTCGTTTCCTTTAAATAGGGTCTCTCGTTCTCTACACTCACTATACGAAACACAGCATCATTAAGCTACTATTTTACGCTGATATTCTGTGAGAGCGTGGTTCTTCCCCGGTTGAGCCAACCCATTCGTGCTACAACTATATATACTTCTAATATAACTGCATGGTTCTACCACGTATAAACGACGTGCTTCATTTTTTTTTTCATTTTAAAATTGTTCTCGTAATAAACTGATTGTAAATAAATGTTCGTTATTTTTTGATAAATAGTTAATCGATTAAAACAAATGTTTAAAAATAATTAAATCGCACTAATAAAGTAGTAGGAATGTTTAAAGTTGAAATTGGTACTAAAAGGCTGGTAATTGGGGCATCCATCCTACAAAGCTTGAATATAAAATTTAAATCAGATGCGTGTAATCACTCTTGGAGCTTGTAGCAAACTAAACGCGTGACCAACGTGTGGACGCGGCGACCAAACTCTGCCAACAATCCTTTGATCTTTTGTAAAAAACCGACACCACACGGATCTTGCGCCAACTCGCGGGCCATCGTTCCAATACATACCAATGAAGCCCAAACACCCCGTCTACACGTTGGCCAATGCTATTGGCCACTACATTCGCCACTGTGTTGGCCAACGTGTAGAGGCGACATAACACAGTGGCGAATGTAGTGGCGAATATATTGGCCGAGAGTTGGTGACGGCGTCCACACGTTGGAAGGTCGTTCAGTTTACTTCGGTTCGGGCCAATGTGCGGACGAATTTATTTTATTTTAGACGACGGCTCCGTGGGCAGTGGCTTGGAAATGAGTGGCTGTGCCAGGGGTCGCGGGTTTGAATCCCGCACGGAACAAGTATTTGTATATCCTATAAATAATTGTTTCGGGTCTGGATGTGTGTCCTTGTGCAATTTATGTTTGTATTTTGTAAGTTGCCTCCGCGATACAAGAGAAAATCCAAGTGTGGGGGGTAACGTTTTTATAAAATAATTATAAAAGAATAGTGAATATTAATTGGGCTGCAAATAGATATACGATATACGATTAGCTTTATTTATTCTTTACATGTATCAGAAACTGGAATAAATACCATTAATTAGAACTTAACTTATTTTAAAGTTAAAGGAGTTATAATCGATTAGTCTATGTTTTAAAATTGGGTTTTGTTTTAAAGTTTAGCAAAACATGTACTTGCTTTTCTATCAGTCATTTGATGTATATAAAAAACACCTTATAATTTATTTGGTAATTTAATTATTTTTTGAGAAAGACAAAAACAATAGAAAGAAATATAATTAACACTGACTTAATAATAGGTACTAATTATAACTTAGAACATAAATGAAAAACTCATGACAAGGAAAGTGGCTCAGGACCATGCTTTGCGGCATTCTTTGGAGGAGGATGTTCTGTAGTGGACTTGTGAAGAGCTGTAATGATGATGATGATTCGAAAACTTGCACGATTAAATTATAAGAAATCGACGCTTTTTTATATAGGATAGGGTGACAACGAGCACACAGTTCACCTGATGGTAAGTGGTTGCTGCGGCCCACAGACATCTACATCTATTCTCGATTACGAATCAAAATGCAGATGCGTTGTCACCCGTGAGAACTAAGATGAAATGCCTCGTTTCCTTTAAAAAGTGTCTCTGGTTCTCTACACTCACTATATGAAACACAGCATCATTAAGCTACTATTTTACATTGATATTCTGTGAGAGCGTAGTCCTTCCCCGGTCGAACCGACCCATTCGTTCTACAACTATACTTCTAATATAACTGCATGGTTCTACCACGTATAAACGACGTGCTTCATTTTTAAGCTATTGCATAGCTTCTATCGAAAAAAAACCTCACGCTCCCCACTCCGACGGGCACGGAGGTGTGGCGTTGAAAGCCGTGCATCGTCTAACGTCGTTTCAGTTCGGCAGACATCGGCACTCGGCAGAGTTCGGCACGGTGTTTGTGTGCGTGCGACTAGACGTATGCGTGTACACTAGCTGCTAACTCAATGATAAAAATTCCTGAATAACCTACATGTATTGTAAGATATTAAAAATATTTTAAACAATATTAACTTCTCATTTATTCAATAAGAGAAAAAAAATTGTTTTCTTATCGGTCACCACGCTCAAAAAGTGTAACTAGATTTAATATCAAAGACTTAACTGCATAAATAAAATAAATAAATAATTATAATTGCATAAGTTGATAAAAAATGCTATGCAATAGCTTTACCGCGGCAGTCACCGAGTGCCACACGTATTTTTTTTTTTCATTTTAAAATTGTTCTCGTAATAATCTGATTGTAAATAAATGTTAATTTTTTTATAAATAGCTTATCGATTAAAACAAATGTTTAACTTACCTATTAAATAAAATCCTGGTAAATGAATTCCATTTTGATCAGCTTTTACATTAATCGTAAAAGCTAGAAGCACAACAGTGTCATTTCTCTAAATACACTAAGAATTCGCCTTTTGAGTTCGGACGTATTACGGAACTTAGTTGCATACACTCGGCGCTTCACTTCTCCCCAAAAATAAAAGTCCAGCGGGGTAAGGTCGGTTCATCGCCCAGGAAACTCCTCAACCAGCATAGCCCTGATTTGCATCTGAAAATGTGCAGGGGCACCGTTATGTTGGTAGTAGAGGTTTCTCAGTGAACGAAGAGGCACATTTCCACTGCACGTTTATGTAGGACATAATTACAAATTAAATACACTCGCACCAAAATTACAACCTAAAGCGACGTAGAATGTCGGCACTGCGCGGCGCGGTTTTAAATTAAGTTAACACGTACATTCCGTACCGACGCAGCGAAGGACTGATGACACACTGACACAGTGACATTGGCCTTGACCGCGAATCGCTGCCGCTACCTACGATATGTTGAGTTTTTTGTTGTGAATTCTGTAGGTATACAGTTTTTTGTTGTGAGTTCTGTAGGTATACCGCCCTACTTGCCTAGGGTGAAATAATTGTAAGAAAAAATTGAGATTTGACTAAAAAAAATGTTTTTAATTTTCATTGAAATTACTTTCTATAAGTGAAACCAAACCACTGGTTTCAAGGACAACGGTGTTTACACTAGCACCCTGTATATTGCACCAACATACTATATTGTAGAATATGTTTAATGTTTAATTATTTTTTAATCATATTGTTCTTTAGTATCTATTTAAATTTATGATGATCTTAAATTTGATATCCCATTCTTTCACTTCATTCAATCTTAGAATATCATATTTAAAGTTTAGATGCCCAAATTTGTGAAGTATTCATTTGCTTAAGAACAAAAAAGTTAGTATTTCATTTGGTCTTATTACCAAACTTAATTAATCACAAGATAAGTTACTTGATTTGCCTCAGTCTTTGTAAAATTCGACATTGCTGTAAGATCAATAATTTACATTATAGTATGCATATTTTTCACAGGTGTTCTATTGTACAACTAATACTAATAATAAACTTCCATTTTAATAAAATGGAATGTGTAACTTTTAGCTTCAGTTTTATTTGTTTTATTTTGTTGTGAATTACAGTGAAGCTGGACATGAAAAGGAGACC